CTGGGAAGCAACTGGTTGATGTTTCTCTTTCTCTCCCTCTCCCTTCCTCTCTCTCTGAAATCAATAAACATATCCTTGGTGAGGATTAAAAAAAAGGCTAAAGTTATTCCTATGACTTTTAATTATCTGGCAGATTAATTAAAAGCATTTTCTAACATTCATTTTACATAATGGTTTTAACCCAGGAGACCTTGTTCTTGGTTACTTTTTTGCTTGTAATCTAAAGGAAAGAAGAAATTTAGCATTCCATTCTACACAAAGTAGTTTTCTGTTTTTTTCTTCTGTTATGGAATTGGTATCACCTAACTTGTGTAGAGTTTCCTCTTGTCTCACGTGGTGTTTGCTGAGTGTAAAAGTCTCCGTAGTCTTTCTGATTCTTGTTAATTTACTTTGGCTTCCCTCTTGACACAGTCTGAGTTCTTAGGGTTTTCCTTATAATGTAATATTACCTCTAGTTTGCTTTTGATTTTTTTCAGATTTCACTTTTTAGAATGTTCTGGGGTATATGTTTATCTTTCTGTGAAAACATGACCATTAATTTTTTAAAAACTGCTTTAAGTCTCTGGGGAAGTGGCTAGTTTTTAAAGGGTCATGTATCTATTTTCTCAGGAGGATTCTCAGAGGCACTCTACTTTCCAAGGCACTTTTGGAATATTTCATTTTGGTTATTAGTCTTTTTAACACACCAGGATTGTTGCTCTCAAAGATGCATAGCCTATGAACCAGTTGGAAAAAAAAACAGTTACGGTCAAAATTTTCCAGGGTCAGCTCTGGCTGGTGTGGTTCAGTGGATTGAGCACCAGCCTTCGAACCAAAGGGTCACGGCTTTGATTCCGGGTCAGGGCATGTGCCCGGGTTGCTGGCCAGGTCCATAGTAGGGGGTGCAGGAGGCAACCACACATTGACATTTCTTTCCTTCGCTTTCTCCCTCCTTTCTCCTCTCTCTAAAAATAAATAAATAAATAATCAGGAAAAAAATTTCCAGAGGCAAATTTAGTTGGGAAAAAGTTGCCTGGTTAGCTCCTCAAGTTCTGTCAGACACTTTCTGTAATTTGGTGTTAATTAATTAAAGTGTCTCTGTCTTCAACATCAATCATCTTTGAATACCAAGTGTATTGTGTAAGGAGAAATAGTTATTTGTATTTTAGATTAGGAGGAGTGATAGAGTAATAGCAGCCCCAGGAGAGCAGATTGGTACCAACACCATCACCCTCTCCCTCTCGTTCCCCTTTTGGCTTTGTGTGCTGTGAGTGTGCCCCAACCGGGCTGCCCTGCCCACAGCTCCAGCATGGACTACTGCCATGGAATCCAGCATTAGAAAATGTGATGGGCATGTAAAGCGAGGAAGAATGGGAAGAACTTGAATCATTTCTAAGGGGGATTAGATGATTTAGAACATAATCTCAGAAATAAAAAGTATCTTGAGGTTGATTAGTGTTGATTACTGTGTTACTTAAAATACATACTGAGTTATTCTCAGTGCCTTGTAAAACTAAGGAGAATATAAAGTGCTAATGAGATTGAATGATCAGACGTATGGTTGTCTTGTTTTGTTATGTGTGTATTTGTGTGTGTGTATGTGTATGCTCACATGTTTACATGTGTATATGTACAGACACATACCTTTTTTGTGTGTGGCTAATCAGATATTGAGTGTGGGTGCTCCTCTCCTGATAGTTGGGTCTAATTCAGGTTCTTAGAGTCAAATGAATCCATTTTTAAGTGACAAGAGAGAGGGGTGGTTTAGAGAATGGAAAGAGCATAGCCTTCTTTAACTTCAGGTTCTTGACTATTCTGGGTGAGAGTTGTTTTGTAATTTAGTTGTAATCTTTGCTGTGGTTGTGCGAAGAGGCAAGCCTTATTTGCCTATGCCTCCATCTTGGCCAGAAGTCAGTATTTCAGGGTCTTAATAGCAAAAGGGATTAGGTTCTAGGTGCCATTTAGAGTTTTATAAATAAATGGAGATAAAATGTGATTATAGGAATCTCAGATATTTCAATAATTACTAATGAAAACAAGTTTCCTTATTCACAGTGTGGACATCCTAATAAAATGTATGATTTTTTTTAAAGCAATGAGAAGTTACACCTGACATCATAGAGATGGGGAGGGAAAGCTGGGAGAGTAGAGTATGAGGGTAATGACGGAAGTCAATTTAAGTTCAACAGAACCTGCTGTGTGCATGAGAGACCCTGGCCTACAGCCTGTTCCCTCCTTCGAGATGAATTTTTCTGTTTCTTTGGATACTCAAAATATTTTGTTCAGTACAGCCTACTGAACTATAGAGATTGACAGTGATGAAACAAAAAGAAACGCCTATAGGTTTTGATTTATAGCGAAGAAAAATTGTCTTTCTGGGAAGTCTCCCAGTGGATTGGAGACACCCCTGATTTTGTCAGCTGAAGAGACTGTGACATGTACACATTCTTCATGGCAGGTTTCTTTAAGTAGGCTATTTTGTTTTTAGATGGTTACCAGAAGTTAAGTCCAGAAGTGAACTGACACGAGGGAAGGTGCTCCAGCCAGATTCTATCTAATCTTTGCTTCAGTGGGGGAAAAAGAATCCCCCAAGTCAACAGAACCTCAAATACATTTTTATTGCTCAGTCTGTCACCTTGGTGACAGGAAAGCTGGAGGGGCCGGAGGTGGTGGTGTTAGTATGAACAGTTCTTCCACTGAGTAAGTGTGTGTACATATATGTTCACATAACTGGTTTTGTCTCAGCCAGATAGCTGCTAATGTAAGGAAAGTTTGGTAGAAAATTTCCTAGAAACAGCTGGCCTATTTCCCAAATACAGTGGCTATTTTTACTACTTTGTTAGGCAGAGAAGAGGCAGCTATAGAATATTGTGTTTGAAGAGAGACCCTTGACAGTCAGTTATGTCCACATCTGAGGTGCTGAGGCAGCGCCTTGTGGTGACCAGCTACAGCCTTGAGCCCTGCTTCCCCTGCCCCGGTGCCATCACACCCCCTCTGAGTGAGTCTGAGCTGTTGGCTCGGTTCATTGGAGGGCCTTCTCTGGGTGTGTACACAGGAGGCAGCAGTGTCCTTGAGTCATGACTAATTGGCTGAATGGATCTGGCTCCCTCACCAGGTAAAAACTCCACCAGTAGGGCAGGCTGCCCTACATACCTGAAGGCTTATTTTCTGAGATCCTCTAGGGTGGTGGGTGGTGATGGTATAGGTTCTGTTTAGAGGAAGTGTTTCTGAAACTTCAGTTTGGGGGCCAACTGCCCAAATGTATTTGGGGTGCTTGTTGCAAATTCAGGTTCCCAGTTCCATATCTATTAACTGTGATTCACAATGTCTGGTGTAGTAATTCTGATGCACAGTAAGGTTTGGGAAACTCCTGGCTTACAGCATCCTCACATGATGTACCACTACACAAGGGGTCATCTTACTGCAGGGACTTTTGATTACTGTTTGTCCCCTTATCTTACAAATTCATTTATTCAACAGTTATTTATAGAATGCCTGTCGTGTGTCAGATACCGAGCAAGGCAGTGGATTTATAACAGTGAGCAACATTGACATGGTTTTTACCCTCATGAAATGGAGGGAAACAAGTAAATAAATTAATAATTATGATTGGGGCTATAAAGGCCATAGTAGGATGTTATAATAGACTTTAATGGAGGGAGGAGCAGTGAGTATTTAAAGTAGAAAGATGGTTAGAGAAGGTCTTCTTTGAGGAGGCAGCAATTACATTAAGACTTAAATTAAAAAGAAACCAGACAGATGAGGAACATGTTAGGCAGTATAAAAATCTTGTGCAGAGGCACTGAGAAAGGATCAACCTTGATCCTGTTTAAAGGGAAAAGAGGCCAGGGTGGCCGGTGCCCAGTGAGCCAGGGGAAGAAGAGACAAGGGAGATTAGGTGGGTAGGCACCTAGATCACCCAGGCTGTTGAGGACCAAGGGAATGGGTAACAGACTTAGAAAGGTGGGGAATCAGATGTTTGGAAACAGAAGTTTGGAGTTGAGAGGCCTGGTTTGGGACAAGAATGTGGGAGTCACCAGCATTCCAATAGAGAGCCATCCGAACGGATGATCTAATCTAGGAAGAGGCTGCAGAGAGAGGGTGGATGAGGGCCTGGTAAAGAGAGGAGTGGCCTCGACAAGGGGAGGTGGGAAGGGAGGAGGGAAATCGGGGCTGTAGGTCTGCAGAAGCCATGAAAGGAGAATGCTCAAAGAGAGCTAGTCAAATGTGTCATTTCTGTTAGAGGTCTAGAACCGCACAATCCTGGATTTAGTAGCCACTGGCTGCATATTGGCTATTGAGCCAATGAATTCCACTTGAAATATGACTAGTGCAAATTTAAATGTGCTACAAGTATAAAACAAAATGCACACCATGTATATCTAAAACTAATCCAATGATATATGTCAACTATATTTCAATTAAAAAATGCACACCAGACTTCAAGACTGAGTACAAAAACAAGAATGAAACTATTTCATTATTACTTTTTATAGTAATGATTACATGTTGAAATGATAATATTTGGGATATATTGGGTTAAATAAAACACACTCTTAAAATTTCAGCTGCTTTTTAATTTTTAAAAATACGGCTACTAGAAAATTTAAAATTGCACTTGTGGCTTGCGTCCTATTTCTGCTGCAGTTTGTCAACGTGGAAGTCATTTGCAAACTTTGTGGGAGTAGACTGCCTGAGATGAAGTAACACCCAACAAGTTGTTTATCAAGCATCATAACACTAGTAAACACATTCATAATAATGATAAGGCCTATGAAGGGCAGCACAGGATATACCTAAATGAAGTAACTAAAAATTCTTCTAGACTTTTTGAGATGTACATAAGTGATTTAATAATTTCACATAAATAGACAATATAATATGTATTTAAATTAAATTCTTTGAAATCAACTCTGAAATATAGTTTTTCAGTCTTTTTTAACCTATATTTTCCCTTTTTTTGTCTTCTTTCTTTTTATTTAAAATTTATTTTTATTTATTTATTTTGCATATCTGGCCAGGAAACTTCATGGTGTTATGGTCAACTTGCCGCACAACCGTGTTCAAATCTGTCACCAACAGGTTCATTAAAAACCTGGCCTGCTCGGGGATCTGTGCCAGCCTGGTCTGTGTGCCCTTCGACATCGTCCTCAGCACCAGTCCTCACTGTTGCTGGTGGATCTACACCATGCTCTTCTGCAAAGTCGTCAAATTTTTGCACAAAGTCTTCTGCTCTGTGACTATTCTTAGTTTCCCTGCCATTGCCTTGGACAGGTAAGATCAAGTGCCAGGGGCTTGATTTTTTTTAAGTGTATTGAAATATTAGCATCACGAAGCAAGTGGGAAATAGTCATTATTCCACATCTTAGTCAGCCTGTGGTAAACAGAAAGAGAATGAATTGCCAGAACAGACGCCTCACAAGGTTGATTTAACAGCAGCTACAGAAAATAGGACCATTGAGAAAAGATATGACACGGTAGGTCACATCATGAGGATGCTGGAGCAGAGTGGCTGGATCACGGTCGAGCTTCAGCGTGGTTGGAATTGGTGGTGTTTGTGTTGCAATTTGCAATAGTTTGGCTCATCTGATTGGTAATTCCACAGTTAGTGCTTTTTGATGTAAGATGAAAACATTCCGGGAAGAACAAGAGAACAATTCAGTGGTTATTTAACACATGATTAGATAATCCATTTGGACCTGGCCAGATAATACCAGAATCCCTTTGGAGGATTTATTTCCAAGGCCACATATTGGCCTGGTTGTTGTTTTCTCTTCCCATCCTCTTTAAGAGAATGTTCATTTGGAATGAATTTTATATTTTAGCTACTGCTGTCACGTGTAATTTGATCAGGTTCATCAAAGTTAAGTGTAAAGATCTCAGTAATCAACAGCTTCCTGCCTTTTCCCTTTGTTGCTAGCATGTCCTGAATGCATTTGAGATAATGAATTTTAGGGAATAGACTTAAATAAACAAACAAGAAATGAAAAGTATTTTCTGTCCACAAGTACTTTTGATTTCAAGATTTGCAGAGAGGAAAAGTTTCTGAAGGGATAATACTGGCTATTCTGACTTTATACCCTATGATAAGTTCAACTGCATTTTAGATGAATTTGGATTTTTTAAACTCTATGTCCATTCAAAACATACTTCATACCTTAATCACTTATGAGGGTGTGGATTTTGGAACTAGTTTGTGGAGTTACTCCAGCGTCTCAGGCCCAGAACCCTGAGTGTATTAGCTGCCTAGGGTCATCCACATGGAGGGCACAGTCACACAAAGCCCTTGCATACTAGGAGAAGTTGCTGGCTTAACAGAGGGATTCCTGGGACCAGAAACCTGCCTATATAGCTTTCTGGGTGGGTGGCATTGGGCAAAGTGGCCTAGCCTTTTTTTGAGTCTCAGTTTCCTCAACAGAAAGGAAAAGTTAAATGAATTGTTTGTGGCCTGGGCTTGGATAGGTTGCACCAATATTTGCCTCTTTTTCTGTAGGGTTTGCTTCTGATTGGCACATTCAGATCTTGCCATGAGCCACTCTGGCTCTTTGGAATTTTCTCACTAGAAACTCACCATCCACAGTGGCAGACTAGGCAGGTGACAAATGCATGGGCCAGGCTGGGGTTGTGTCTGCATTCGTGTTCATTGGGGTCAGTCACTTAACAGATGCACATAATAGTTGCTTTGTGGCTATCTAGATTTAGTGGGCAGGACTGTTTTCTTAGAAGAGACATCAGAAATCTAGAATTCTATAATTTTCAAATGTTTCCATTTAGTTTGCATTTAAAAATATTATGTGAACCATTCAAATCCTTTCAGCCAGCTGAATGTACACCATGTGATGCCAGTTTGCCATGGGGGGCTTTACAGTAACTTTGCATGACTCTTCTGGAAGCCACAAGAGGCCTTGGAATATCTGGAGAGAGCCATTGCACGGCACTGCCCTATACAATGAAAAGTCAAATTGCATCCTGGTGGGTGCCCTGATGAATTTGGTGTTGGACCGCCTGTGTTTACGGCAGGTGTCCTTTCAGCTGCCCCTTAGCTGTACCACCTGCTTAGTGAGGGTTTAAGTCTTCAGTCCACATTGTGGATTTTTATTTTCTGAAAGTTTTTCTAAACATTTCATTGGGATATAATCTATGTATCACATAAGTGACCCATTTTAGGTGTCCAAGTCAATGAATTTTAGTATCTTTATAGAGCTGTGCAGCCATCACCACAATTGAACTTTAGAATCAATTCATTACCCTAGAAAGAAGCCTCCTGCTCATTACACTCACTCTCCATTCCCACCCACTGGACCTAGGCAACCACTAATCTACTTTCTGTCTCTGTGTGTTTGCTGATTTTGGACCTTTCATGTAAGTGGAATCATACAGTATGTATTCTTTTATGTCTGGATTCTTTAACTCAGCATAATGTTTTCAAGGTTCATTTATGTCGTGACATGTATCAGTACTTCATTCCTTTTCTTCTTCAAGTTTTAATGAGATATAATTGACATACAGCACTGTGTAAGCTTACGGTGTATAGCATAAAGGACTTACATGCATTGTGAAATGATTGCCACAATAAGTTTAGTTAACATCCATCATCTCATACAGATACAAAAAAAAGAGGAATTTTTTTGTAATGAGAACTCTCAGGATCTACCCTCATAACAACGTACTCTTGTTTATTGCTGAATAATAATAGTTCATTATATGGCTCTACCACATTTTGTTTATCCATTTACTAGCTGATGGACAGTTGGGTTGTTTCCATTTTTTGGCTGTTGTGAAAAATGCTGATATGAATCCTGGAAGTTTTTTAAGAATAGGATTCAACAGGAGGGGGAACACATTATTTTGAACACTTTCTGTTATACCTGGAATCAGTGCAATAATAACAGTGAGTTATTTCTAGGCACTTGGGCTTAGAGGGGAAAATATGCTAACAATAAGAAACGCTTATTTTCATTCCATCAGAAAATCTACTGTATATTTGCCATTATTATTTTTAAGGGTAAGCAAGTCCTTTTAGTACAAAAATGAGGCCAGCAGGTTCCGGTTTTATTATTCAGAGATACAGATTACCTGTAAGCTTAAGTGTGGTGTGCATGAAGATGAAGGGAAGACGATCCTTTTTCTCACTGCTTTCTCAGAGTTTTGTTTTCATGGCACTGAATCAGCAAGTTAATTGGGAGGCCATACACTTCCTGCATTATTTTCTAGAGCTGTACACACTAACAGAATTATTTGTAATGAGCCTGCATGCTTGTGTTGCAGTCTATTTACCAATACATAAATAGGAGCAAAAATGACCAGAAGCCTGGGTTGATTATCCCAGTTAGCAAAGAGAAATCAGAGACAGTGGGCTCCTGAGCACGTGTTCATGTGTGGATGCCAGACCATCACATTGTATTTATAGAGTTGTACTTATAGAAAACTTCATCATATTCAGAGAAATAAAATTGAGAGCATGCATAACTTTTGCATTTTTTCTCCTTTTTCCCCCTCCCAGAAAGAGATCTAGAACACATCGTGCTCCACACACCTCCGATCATCCATGGTCTTGTTGTGTTTGCATCGTGTCTCCCCCAGCTGCAGCATTCTCCCCCAGCTGGCCCCTGCCAGGCTCCACCATGGTGCCACCTTCTCTTGACATTTTCCCAGGTGCTCCCTTTCCCATACCTCTGTGCATACCTCTAATAGAGCCATCATCTCCTCATTTATAATTGTTTGCATGCCTTTTTCTTCATTAACTTTAGAAACATTCCTATATGTCCTTTCTTCTTTGTAACCCAGTGCCTGGCATATAGGTGGTGCTCAGAAATCCTTGTGACAGGAAAGCATCTGTGTTTACCTGGCCCCTGGTGTGACTGAATGTTAATAGGGTTGTAGGGTGACTCCAGCATTAGCTGACTAAAGTGAAATAGGCAGAGCTAATCTCTGATAATCACTGTATCGCTGATGGCTAGTGGCAGCCCTTTCCTGACAGAGGTGGCCCTAGGGTCTGAAGAACTACTCATTTTCATCAAATCATTGCTGATTTAGAAACAAGGTCCTTTTGGAATTCTGATTAGGTGGTTATAGAATAATCAAGTTAAGCTTGAAGAAAAAGAAGTTTTATCATGCAGGCGTTTCAGACCTATTACTTGTTTTACTCTTAGGGTTACTAAATGATTATCATTGGAACAATAACTATTGAGCAGGCATAATTAAAAAAAATGTTTGTCCTCACCGGAGGACATTTTTTTTCAATGCTTTCGGAGAGAGGGAGAGAAGAACAGAGAGAGAGAAACATTGGTGTGAGAGAGAAGCATTGATTGGTTGCCTCCTATCTGCACCCGGACCTGGGATGGTAGCGTCCAGACCAGGAGGCAGTGGGGGAGTCGGGGATCAAACCTGTAACCTCTGTTACAGGACAATGCTCCAACCATTTGAGCCACACCGGCCAGGGTAATCAGGCATAAATTTTGTCAGTAGATTTTGTGGAAGGACTTTGTCAGAGTCTGTCCTTCATATTGGGTTCTGCCCCAGCAGCTGTAAAGTTAATATCTCCATACATATACTGCTTTGGAAATGCATACAGACAAATTTCTTTCTGTTAGTGGCTTTGAAATTTGCCCTAAATCTTCTGTAGTGCATGGAAAGTCTTTTTACAAATTACCATTAAATTGAAAAATAGATGTCTTTACAGCAAATGGAAACACCCCTTATATTGCGAACACTCTTTGTGATTAATCCTGGTGGCAATAATTATTAAGCCAGTTACGAATTGCACAGCAAAGTCCTCAAAACTGAAGGTCTGGCTACCTAATTTCCCCAGTGGTTCCCTCTTTCTTAGGCAGAATAAAAGGACTTGACCCTTTTTTCAGTGTCTCCTACTCTTGGTAATATAGATTGCCCTAATTTAAAGCGTTATTTTCTCCTGTGAAATGAATTTTGTGTGTGCATTTTGCAGGTACTACTCAGTTCTTTATCCGCTGGAGAGAAAAATATCTGATGCCAAGTCCCGTGAGCTGGTGATGTACATTTGGGCCCATGCAGTGGTGGCCAGCGTGCCAGTGTTTGCAGTGACCAATGTGGCAGACATCTATGCCATGTCCACCTGCACCGAAGTCTGGAGCAACTCCTTGGGCCACCTGGTGTATGTTCTGATCTATAACATCACCACGGTCATCGTGCCTGTGGCCGTAGTCTTCCTCTTCTTGATACTGATTCGACGGGCCCTGAGTGCTAGCCAGAAGAAGAAGGTCATCATAGCAGCCCTGCGGACCCCGCAGAACACCATCTCCATCCCCTATGCCTCCCAGCGGGAGGCCCAGCTGCACGCCACCCTGCTCTCAATGGTGATGGTCTTCATCTTATGTAGTGTGCCGTACGCTACCCTGGTCATCTACCAGACTGTGCTTAATGTCCCTGACACTTCTGTCTTCTTGTTGCTCACTGCCATTTGGCTGCCCAAAGTCTCTCTGCTAGCGAACCCTGTGCTTTTTCTTACTGTGAATAAATCTGTTCGCAAGTGCTTGGTAGGGACCCTGGTGCAGCTACACCACCGGTACAGTCGCCGTAATGTGGTGAGTACAGGGAGTGGGCTGCCTGATGCCAGCCTGGAGCCCAGCATGCGCTCGGGAAGCCAGCTCCTGGAGATGTTCCACATCGGGCAGCAGCAGATCTTTAAGCCCAGGGAGGATGAGGAAGAGAGCGAAGCCAAGTACACTGGCTCTGCTGACCTCCAGGCCAAGGAGATACCTGGCACCTGCCTGGAGGGCGAGCAGCGGCCACAGTTCGCACCTTCTGTGCCAACTCCAGGGACTGTGGACTCTATATCCCAGGTGGCACCAGCAGCCCCTGTGGAACCTGAGATGTTCTCGGGCAAGTATTCCCTGCAGTTTGGTTTTGGTCCTTTTGAATTGCCTCCCCAGTGGCTCTCAGAGACTCGGAACAGCAAAAAACGACTGCTTCCCCCCTTGGGCAACACCCCAGAAGAGCTGATCCAGACAAAGATGCCCAAGGTAGGCAGGGTGGAGCGGAAGATGAGCAGAAACAATAAAGTGAGCGTTTTTCCAAAGGTGGATTCCTAGGGAAGATTGAAAGCCCCTGGAAGCAGCGGGGAGCTTCCTCACTCTGGCCCACCCTTCACTCTGGCCCTGTGACTTGTATGGTTTCACTGCTGCCCAGAATGGGTTGACTTCCTGTCTGGGCCACCTGTTTCTGAGTGAGAGGGAAATCTACACAAAATCAAATGTCTTCTTTATTGAGGGAGTGTGTGTATATATATACATATACACATGTATATATATATATATATATTATTCTCAGTGGTCCATGTCCTTAGTAAAACCTGTATTCCTCTCTGTGGAGACAAAAGTTGGGCATTATAGATTGGGTTTTGGGGTTGTTACCCCATTTATCTTTTCTAGGGATCTTAGTTCTCTGTGTTCAGCAGAAAATACACAGAGAGGATAGTGTCCATGAGGTCAGAGGGAACAGGGCCACTCCAAGGGAAACCCAGGATAACTGTGGAGTGGTGTGGCCACAGAGAGAATGCCTATTTGATGGACCTAACTATGACAAACATATTAAAATTGTTTAACATCGATCTGTATCTGTAGGGAAGATAGAGGTTTGGCACTTGATGCTTTTTCACACGTTTGGCAGTTTCTCCTGCTGCTGTCGTCCCTTCACTGGGTCGTGCATAAGGAATGGCCCTCTGCCCCGTCTGATGGGCCTGGCGGTGGGGGAGATGACCTGTCCTCGGTCGTCCTGACGTTCTCGGGGCCTCCCTCAGGCCTCAGAGAGACATGTCTGCCGTTTTGGCTGGAAAACACTGCAAGCTCTTTACTGTGTCTTTCCCCCTTAAATTATGTTTTGTTTCTTTCTTCAACAAGTGAGAGAGAAACGTAGGTGGAAAAGACAGACTGGAAAGTCCACACACTGTGATCTCACCTGCAAGGTGCTAGGGAGCCGTCATGAGGAGTGAAGTATGTTGAAAAAATTATCTCATGCAGCCTTTTGGAATTCAGAGGTAATTTTAAAATGCAAAGTTAGTGTAAAGTGGGTCCCCTGGAAACGTCAAGCTGAAACGACTTGACGAGGAAAGGTGAGTCTGCCCAAAAGAGTGGGAGAAGGCTGACAAAAATGGCTCTTGTGAGGAGGACTCCAGACACAGGCTGGCCCGTCTCCTTTCCAGCCTGTGCAGCTGTGGTCTGCCCTCGTTTTGGACACAAAGGAGGGTCAGAACAGGAAGAAAGAGCTCACCGTAAAATGCCAAGGCAACACACAGCCCAGGTGAGCTCTCTGCTTCCTCTTTCCCAGTGAAGTTTTAGCCAGAGCCAGAGTGGATAGAAGAGGGGACAGTGCCCTCAAGTGATTAGACCCTGTGGGCTTGCACAGGCAGTTCAGGGCCACTCTGTGTGTGTTTCCCCAGGCCGAGTTCAAACCACAGATGACACTTCACTCGTACTGAGTACAGACAGTGCCAGCACTGCTTTCCTCTCTAGGGTGTTTGGTTTTCATTAGTAGTAAGTGAGGGAGCCCGTCCAGTGCCTTGCGTGAGCCTGAAGGGAAGTAGGCCTTCTTGCCGCACACTTCCACGTCCCGAAGGCACGGTCCTCACGCGGCCTTTCCTTTAACCCACTGGTCCTTGTCCTTTGGAGGAAGCTGAGGCTGTGTGTAGGAAGTCTTCTTTTCCTGTCTTCACCTGGGTGTGATGTCTTGTAATTCCTGAAGGTAATAAACCCCAAGACCCTTCCCCTGCAGAGGGAATGCCTTCCCCTGTGTGCTTTGTCTCCTCAAAGTGTTGTGTGCGCGCAGCAGAAACCGGGACGGCCACACCCTCCCCGGTGCCTCCTGCCTCCCAGGCCCTTTGTGCATGCCGCCTCTGGCTTCTTGCCCTGACAGTGAAAATGTGGTCCTTCAAGCTTATCTTTCAAAACATTCACAAGTGTTACAACTTTCCTCAAGGGGAAACATAATCTGTCAGAAAACTGTCTGCTTTAGAAGAATCTGTCAAATGTAGCTGCTTTGGTGTTGTTCTGACTATATATATGTACAACAATAAATTCTGATGAGGCAGAATTTGGTAGGTGTTTCTTCTGTATGTTTGAAGCAGATGGTTGACATCTAGCAGTCATTGCCAGGTGTATTTCTATACTCTTTGAAGAATTACATTTTAATAAAAAATTGAAAAGCTTTTTCTGAACTCAAAAAAGGTTGTATGAGCTTTGTGTTTTTTGTTTTTTCTTTTCCCTCAAGTGGTTTACACTGTCTGAATCCCTGTCTTCCTACATGCTCTCAAATGAAAGGTGTTCATTCAATTCATAAATACAGATGCAACATTGCAGGAGCATTTTCTTATATTGTTGCAAAAAAATGAATTCTCAAAGGAGAAAATGCAACGTTTAAATGAATGCTGGAAACACGGGCTCTAAGGCGAGTTGGTGGGAAGACCGCCCCCTCTCCCAGGGAGGGCGGTGTGCCGCCGACATCCGTATTCACGTGCTGGGGTTGACAGCACACAGCGAGGGCCGTGGGCTCTGAGGCCAGATGGCCCATGTTTGAGACCTGGTTCTACCACTGGCCAACCTTATGACCTTGAGCAGGTGAGGTTTCCTCTCTGTGGGTTGGGAGGATGCTCACTGTGTCAGAAGTCTTTTGTCCCAGCTCACACACTTCACCTCTGATTCGGGCCATGTGGTCAGTGGGCGTGGCTGACCGCAGCCGCTCTCTTCCCTGAGAGCACTTGAGGCCTAGCTCCTCTGCCTTCTTCCCGGTGAGAGTTCCCTGGCTCCTGGGTGACCCATGATCGATGGGGCATCGGGACCAGGGGGTAGATGTCCCTCCCTCCTGTCCTGCTGGACAATTCTGAGAGGCATTCGTCCATATTTCAGGAGATCAAGCAGAATTAAGTCCCTGTTGCCCACGATGGTGTCTCATAATGAACCCCTTTATTGACTTCCTCTTCTTTCCCTGTCTGGGCTTCTCTAGCCTCCATTCATGCCGTCAGGGGTCACCTCCCCAAAACAGTACCTAATAAAGCCTTTGTCGCAAGCTCTGTTTTCAGGGGGATCCAAGTGAGACAATAATATACCTCATGGGACAATTGTGAGGATCAAATGGGGTGATCTGTTTTAACATGATGCCTGTCACAGAGTAAACTCTATCAGTGTTAGTGTGTATGTACTACCTTTCTTTTTTAAAGTTAGGGGGCTTGTTTGGAATGTTTTGCATGAAATTATATTAAGCTGGTGTTGTCACCAGTCACCCCAATATTAGCAAATATTTATAATGATGATCATTTGAGGTGGTACACAGTGCCAAAGGACTCTTTGAATCCCTGAAGAAAAAAATAACTAAGCCAGAATATTTTTTTAACCAAACAATTCTCAATTTGAAAAAAAGGGAGAGCCCTGGCTGGTGTAGCTCAGTGGATTGAGTGTGGGCTGTGAACCAAAGTGTCGCAGGTTCTATTCCCAGCCAGGGTACATGCCTGGGTTGCCGGCCATAACCCCCAGCAACCGCACATTGATGTTTCTCTCTATCGCCTTCCCTTCCCTCTCTAGAAAGTAAATAAAATCTTAAAAAAAAAGGGGAGCCCTGGCTGGCATAGCTCAGTGGATTGAGTGCGGGCTGGGAATGAAAGTGTCCCAGGTTCGATTCCCAGCCAGGGTACATTCCTGGGTTGCAGGCCATAACCCCCAGCAACCGCACATTGATGTTTCTCTCTCTCTCTCTCTCTCTCTCTCTCTCTCTCTCTCTCCCCCTTCCCTCCCTAAAAGTAAATAAAAAAAAAAAAACAAAATCTTAAAAAAAAAAAAAAGGGGAGAAATGTTAAAAGAATGTTCAACTTTGCTGTAAACCTGTAAGGCAGACTGTGACTATGAGTGAGCATAATGTACTGTACTGGCAAAGTAATAGGCGAGTGGAGTAACTAAGGGCACGTGTACAAATCAAAGTGGCCCCATCCATGGAGAAGGAACTGTAAGTTAACCACTTGGTGGGCTAAATAACACCTGGAGGTCAGGCACCAGTTTGACGGGAGAGGGGAACGGCTGCTTCATCTCCGTTCTAGGAGCTCGGGCCTCTTGGCAGCCTGGCACCAGGGCAGGGTGGCTCGGTGTGCGCACAGCTGTTGCTGTGTGCGTGGGCTGAGGTGCTCAGGAAAAAGGCTGATTTTAGGCTGAGTTTTGGTCCAGAGAAAGGGTTAATGCTTTCATATATTGTAGTTTATCTATGTAGCTCAAAATGTAAATAACATTATAGCAAAGTGATTAACTTCCCCCAAATAGTTGTAAACATTGTATCAACCTCTTGTGCTATTGTAGAGTCCTGTAGCCAAATGAAAAATGATTCATGGTTAATGACTTCAGGATATGTGAATAGAACAGGAATTGGAATCACAACTAATGCTCAGAGCAGCATCAAAAGCCTGTTTGTGTGAGCTTGAGGCTTTTTAAAGAAAGTTAAATGATCTAAGATTCAGATCCTCCAAGCATGAGGTTTCAGAAGCTAAAATATCTCCTCTTAGCCTCTGATTCAGCCAATGTTTTTCCCCAATTACATCAAGGTGATACGTTGGTAAATATGCAGAATAAAGGCCTGCACACCTTTGTAGAACTGAAACTATTATCTCCAGGATTGTTTTATGTGAACCTGTACAGGTATCTCAGGCATATGTGTTGGCTGTGAAGAATCTTTTTTGCTGTTGTATTGATCAGAATTGAGGATTAAACCTGTCTGCCTCTTAAATTTCTTGCTATATGCTTGTTCATTGTAGTCCATATACAAAAGGTAATACACACAAAAGAGGTACTGGAATGATGTGGTGTACACTTTAAGGCAACAGGTGAGAAAATACAACATACATGGGATGATGCCTTTGAAATATTAACCATGTTCCCTTATGCATCTCATTTCTCTTCCCTCCTTTGCCTTGCTCTTCACATTCACATGCGTCACCTCAGGGAAGGGGTGGGGGAAGGCATTCGTTGTCTCAAGGAAAGCAAATAGTCTGTGACTCCAGTTGTGTATCAAAGCCCAGGTCTTAGGAAAACAGATGGGACTCTTGGGGTAAGCCCAGTGGGTGTTGGATAATGACTGTCAAAAATGGGGATGCTTCTGGCAGCTAGTCGGTGAAGGCCAGGGATGCCACTAAACATCCTACAGTGCACAGAGCAGTCCTCCACAACTAAGAATGATCTGATCCAAAGTACCAATGGTACCAAGACTGAGAAACCTTGGGTTAGCCAGAGGTTTGAGATGCTTTGAGGAGGGTGGGACCATCTCCTTTCAGTAGCAAGATTTCCCTGGAATTGAGGTTAGTGGATGGACTAGGAGCCAGGGGTAAGTGGTAAGAGTGCTGACATCTGTACCTTCTGGACAAAGGGGCCCTGATGCCTCCCAGGCAAAGCCCCAGGGATACAGCAATACAAAGACTTGATTAATTGCAGAGGGAACGTGTGTATGCCCTGCTTTCCAGCTTGTGGAGCCCCAGTGTAACGTCTGGCAGTGTGTTCATGCAGCCAGGGCCTCACAAGCTGGGTCTTGAAAGAAAAAGAAAGCTTCAAGCCCAAAGGTTCAGGTGGACAGGAAGGATGGGTTGCTGGATCAAATAGGGGCAAGAGGTGACTGTGTAGGCAATGACAACAGGGACAGATGTTTTCACACACATGCCCCACAGTACCGTGTGGTATAATGAGAGAGAGAAGGAAACCTTGAATGTCAGGTTATTTCTATTATCCCATCATCTCAAAATGAAAATCGAGCTATAGCAATCAATAATAATAAAAGATTTTTTTCACACTGAGTTTTTGGATTGAAGCAATTAGTTTGTACTCAAATGTGGATTGGGGAATTAGGCTTTAAATCCCCTTTCAACTCTGAAATTTTATGCTTCTGTAGCTTATTATGATTATTCTACATACGAATACATGTTTATAAAAACTCTTTTATAGTTTATTTTGCCTTTCTCCTAGTAAAATTCTCATTTCCCCTTCACATTTTTTTTTATGGAAGAAATGTGGTGTAATCAGGTTTTATATTATATTGTTCTGAGGTCCATGTGGAATGAAACTCTGGCCTTCTGTCTGCGGTTGTTCCTCTCAGAGGAAACTCTATGATTATTTAAAAGACCAATGATGAGAGGTACATTTTTCAAAACTCAGCTCTGGAAGATAATACTAAGACTCTAGCAGTTTAATTAATTAATTAATTTGGCTCTTTTTATTTATTTTTTACAACTTTTTCAATTACAGTTAACATACAATTAGTTTCAAGTCTATACCCCAGTGATTAGACATTATATAACTTACTAAGTGATCATCCTAATAAATCTTGGACCCATCTGGCAGCATACATAATTATTAGAATAGTATTTTTTAAGGATTCTATTTATTGATTTTTTTCAGAGAAAGGGGAAGGGAAGGAGAAAGAGAGGCAGAGAAACATTGATGCATGAGAGAGTCACCAACCGATTGCCTCTGCCACACGCCCAAACTGAGGATGGGGACCACACCCCATGCATGTGTGTGCTCTGACCTCGGAATCGAATGTGGGTGACCTTTCACTTTGCAGGAGGATGCCCACCCAACTGAGCCGCACCAGCCAGGGCTAGCATAGTACTGACTATATTCTCTACGCTGTACTTTGTACTCCCATGACCATTCTGTAACAATTTGTATTTCTTAATCCCTTCACCATTTTTACCCATCCCCTCAGTCCCCCTCCCATCACAGTGTTCTCTGTATCTATGTGTCTGTTTCTGTTCTGCTTGTTCATTTATTTTGCTTTTTAAAATTCAATTATTGATCTATATTTATTGCCATTTTATTGCTCATATTTTTAAATATTTTTTCTTATTCTTCTTCAAGAAACTTTTTAACATTCCACATAATACTAGTTTGGTGGTGATGAACTCCTTTAGCTTTTTCTTGTATGGGGAGCTCCTGATTCTAAATGATAGCTTTGCTGGGAAGAGTAATCTTGGTCGTAGGTCCTTGTTCTTCATCACTTTGAATATTTCTTGCTAGTCCCGTCTAGCCTGTGAAGTTTTTGTTAAGAAATCAGCTGACAGTCTTATGGGAACTGTCTTGCAGTTAAATAACTGCTTTTCTCTTGCTGCTTTTGGGATTCTCTCTTTTGTCTTTAACCTTTTGTATTTTAATTAAGATGTGTCTTGGTGTGGGCCTCTTTGG